ACTCTCCTGAACCTGGTTGTGAGCCTGTGATAAAAACTTTGAAAGAACTCAGTTTGCTCTCACGCCCTGTGGCGCGAGATTACAGATTTTTTTTTATTTTTATTGTCTACGGATTTCATTTCTATTGTCTGCGTCTTTTTGACGCTGAACTCTCGAGAGAGTGCAAAGCGGAGAAACCTTATTGCATGCTAGAAGCTATTCGTACATTCGACATTGACTAATAAGAACGAGATATTTTGCTGTTTACTTAAAGGTGTAGAATTTTCGTTGCGGCCGAACAAGTTTACATCCAGAACGAGAGCTGTTGCGACCTGTTTTGCGTACTTTAAAAGAACTCAATTGGTTCTTACGCCCTGGGGCGCGCAATAACGGACTTTGTTTCACTTTTATTGTTCATGGATTTCAATTCTACTGTTTACGGATTTTGAGGGCTGTCGGGAAAGTTGTCAGAGCGACTAGTTTTATTGCTATCGAGTACATTAGAAAGCAGATTCTCGGATAGTTAGCTTCCGATGTACCTAGTACTTTTCGTATCAGCCGAACAAGTTTAGATGCAGAAAGACCGGTTTTATTTCAATGTTTAATTAGGTAGCCTGTTGAGACACTTTCGAGACGAACAAACAATTAACCTTACAGACTTTGTTTCATTTCTATTGTCCATGGATTCCATTTCCATTGTCGGCGTCTTTTTGATGCTCAACTTTAGAGAGAGTGCAAAGCGGAAAACCCTTTTTGCATGCTAGAATCTATTCCTACGTTCCTAATTGACTTATAATGAACGAGATATTTTGCTGTTTACCTTAAGGTGTAGAATTTTTGTTGCGGCTGAACAAGTTTATATCCAGAATGAGAGCTGTTGCGACCTGTTCTGCATACTTTGAAAGAACTCAGTTGGCTCCTACGCCCTGGGGTGCGCAATAACGACCTTTGTTTCACTTTTATCGTTCACGGACTACATTTCTATTGTTTACGGATTTTGAGGGCGGTTAGGAAAACCGTCAGAGCAACAGGTTTTATTGCTATCGAGTACATTGCAAAGCAGATTCTAGGATACTTACTTTCCGGTGTACCGAATGCTTTTTGTATCAGCCAAACAAGTTCACAAGCAGAAAGACCAGTTTTATTTCAAAGTCTAGTTGGGTAGCCTGTTGAGGCACATTCGAGACGAGGAAACAATTAACCTTAATAAAAGCGTAGAAACAACGCGGAAAATTAGCGAAAAGATTTCAAACTATATCTTGCTGTGAATCAACACTGGTGGCCAGAGTCAGAGGTTTTCTTCTAAAGTACAAGAAATTATTTACATTAATTAAGACATACAAGACATATGATATAAACAAATAGGAACACTTCGTCATCTGTTGCATCAACAAGTATTTCATACCCCTTAGAGGTATGCAGGTGGTGTGATTAAATCACATTATCATGATTCCATTGCTATTTCCGCCGTGATCGGTTTAAAGAGAACGGCAAGCAAGACCATGTTACTTGAAAGCTTTCTGAACAAACCGAAGCTAGTGTAACTCTCCTGAACCTGGTTGTGAGCCTGTGATAAAAACTTTGAAAGAACTCAGTTTGCTCTCACGCCCTGTGGCGCGAGATTACAGATTTTTTTTTATTTTTATTGTCTACGGATTTCATTTCTATTGTCTGCGTCTTTTTGACGCTGAACTCTCGAGAGAGTGCAAAGCGGAGAAACCTTATTGCATGCTAGAAGCTATTCGTACATTCGACATTGACTAATAAGAACGAGATATTTTGCTGTTTACTTAAAGGTGTAGAATTTTCGTTGCGGCCGAACAAGTTTACATCCAGAACGAGAGCTGTTGCGACCTGTTTTGCGTACTTTAAAAGAACTCAATTGGTTCTTACGCCCTGGGGCGCGCAATAACGGACTTTGTTTCACTTTTATTGTTCATGGATTTCAATTCTACTGTTTACGGATTTTGAGGGCTGTCGGGAAAGTTGTCAGAGCGACTAGTTTTATTGCTATCGAGTACATTAGAAA